TGTAAATACAATAAGCTCAAGTGGGTGTGTGTAACAATGAGATAATATAATCAAATCTAAACTCAATATAAAAACTAGCTTTAAAGAAAGATAATCAAATAACTAAGCAAATGTAAAGCTAGATAAGAGTTTAGAAAACTTCTCAATAGATCAAGAGGTGGAGGGAGAATAGTTGGAAGCTCAAACTTCAATAGATGATCTCCTCAAGCTCTTGTGGAATTTTCTTCACAAACAAACTCTTGAAACAAACTTAAAAACCCTTCAACAAACTTGTAAAACTCTTTTTAAAACTCTCTTAAACATCCTTAAGAAACAATGAAAGTTGAGGGCTTTTTATAGCCTCTTAAACCAGCCACAAACCCCCAAAAACCGAAAATATCAAAAATTAGCCGTTACTAGCCGTTATAGGCTGAAAAGACCAAAATACCCCAAATTCCAGCATTCTGGAAATTTGCGTATCTAACTTTATAAAATCAGTTAAAAATAGTAAATCAATTCCAAAAATCATAAAATGTTGTGGGAATGTTCTAAACATGTATATGAACATGTTAGAGAAAGAATTTCTGAAAATTCATTTCTCATTTGAGAGAAATAAATGTTTTAACATAGATATACAGTTTCTGAAAATCTGCTGACATACACGATTTTGTAAAATCAATTGGGCATAGTAAATCAACTCCAAAAATAGTAAAATTTTGAGAAAAGTTTCTAAACATGTAGATAAACATGACAAAGAAAGAATTTTTTGAATACCACTTCCTATTTATGAAAACTCATCTGTTTTGTAAAACATGCACGAACATGTGCACGAACAAAAAACATGATTTTGTAAATTCCATTAAACATAACAAATCAATTCCAAACTTGATGAAACTTTACGAAATGTTTATAAACATGAAAAAAAACATGTTAGAAAAAGAATTTCTCAAATTGAATTTCTATTTGTGAAAACTCATGTATTTTGCAAGTGTGTCCAAAGCATAAAAACTCAAAACCATGCATGTATATATATAACTATATATATACATAGAAACCAAATACGTGTGTGTATATGATGTTGAGCTTAAGGTACTTAACACACATAATATAAAATCTAAACTAGATTACCCAAGCTTGATCTTGATCTTCATTGTAGCTCAACTTGGTACACATGCGGATGAAGCTTGAACTTGATCTTTAACTTTGAATTGCAAGTTGCTTCACTCCACAATTCCGCCAACCTCCATTTGATATCGTCGTTATGGCGCAATCCATCCATCCTCCAACTACGTTGTTTGTCTACAAAACATAGGAATGCACAAACACTAGACAAACAACATTAGTAGTAAATTGTTTATAAATCATCATCAAAACAAGAAGGCCAACAGCGAGAAGGGTATGGATGAAGACTTCTGTATCCTCTTCAAAAAATCTTGACAGGAAGAGTCTCTCTAAATCTGCCCATCTTTGGATACATCCGGTAGGTAGTTTTCTGAACCATTCAAAAGCAACTCCCTTAAGGGTGCCAATGAACAATCGAGCCAGTATGGTATCGTTTGATATTACATTCCCAGTCTGTGACTTAAAATGATAAATATGTTGGTTCGGTGATCCCGTGCCGTCAAAAGTTTGTAGCGTCAGGACTTCAAATTTTGGAGGATAAGGGGCTGCATCCCATTCCGCAGGATAGGGTCTGACAACTCCCTCGTCTTGGAGCTCGCTTCTGTTGGCCATGGCATTGAGGCGTGCTTCCAATTCTTCCATTTTGGCAAACTGGAGATTATACTCGTTCTCAGTCTCTCTTCCTTTATCAGAGGAAGATTCCAGGTTGTGGGCTTCTTGGTCAGAAGCCGTGTCATCAACCACCTTTCCATTCCCTTTGCTTGTGTGAGGTCGGGATGAAGACGTTTTTCCTCTCCGGGAAGATTCTTGCCTGGGTGGCGAATATGTCTTCTGAGATTTGGCCTTGATTGTGACGATTTGAGTCAACAGGGCCATGAGTTCATTGATGGCCTCTTGCTGAGATTTGATCATGGCAAAAGAGCTTGATGATTGGGACTCTGCAATGGCTGAGTGTTCATCATTGGAATTGGTTCCCCTGGCTAAACTCCGATAGTTGACAGGGGGAATGGCTCCTGTTCGCGTCCGAGTGCGTCGGTAAACTCCTTCAAACTCGTTAGCGATTTCTCTGATGGTCGGCGAACGACTTGTCTCAGAGTCATCGGAACTAGGACCTGAAGCTTTCCCTCTGCCGATCACATTGATAGTGATCTCAGGATATTCGGTCTCTGGAGACTTCTTCCTGTGTGAACGTCGTCGTTGGTTAGACAAAGCAACGTCCGTTAATTGGTTGAACACCAATGGTTTGGCCGCATATGAGCAGCATTGATATCCCGAGAGGACCATAGGAATCAGCCGTTCACATTGGAATGAACGAATGACTTGCTGCATCGGTCTTTCTCTCGATATGAACTCTCTCAAATCTGTTGTAAAGATTCGAGGAGAATTACTCACTGATCGTGAGGTTTGAACTGGAACCCCCAGTCCATGATTGGACAGGACTGGCTCTTGGTGAATATGGATCTGGTTGAGATGCCTTGAATCCATAAACTTCTTATATCCACCCCTTAATCTAGTCGCGCTACGCAGAGTATTCGGGGGTCTCACTGCCCGGTCAGCGAGCCGGGGGTCCAGGGGGCGGCACGCCCCTGGCCAGGGGGTCCGGGGGGGGGGGGTACCCCCCGGCGGCCAACTTCTGTATTGGATTTGGAACTTGGGACGCGAGGGTCACATTTGGCACCTGAGACGCGAAGGTCGTGTTTGGCACCTGAGACGCGAAGGTCGCGTTTGGAACTTGAAACACGAGGGTCGCGTCTGGCACATGAAACGCGAAGGTCGCATTTTGGTTTGGCAACATGAGGGTCGCGTTCTTCATTGTCGACGCGAGGGTCGTGTTTTGACTGGGAAACGCGAAGTTGAAGTTCACGTTCAACGAAGGCTTGAGGTCCGCGTTTTGGTTGTAAAACGCGCCATTGAGGGCCATGTTCAGTCTGGTTCTCGCGAAGCTCATGTTTGGGCTCAGGGTCGCGTTTAGGCTCCAAACGCGTTGGTTGGAGGATTGACTTTCTTGGAATTGTGCCGAATCTAAGTCTTCTCCTTCAGAGAGGGGACTGTATGAACAGTGCAACCCCCAGGGTAGACAGCCCTTTGATGAGTCAGCCACAACTGGAGCTTCAGTCTCCTTAGAAACTTTGTGGATCTTATGCATAGCCTTGGGGCTAAGGGATCCGGAGGAGATAGCCTCCTCAAACTTGGCTTGATCAAACTCTACCACGAGAGTTTCGACGGTTGTTCCAGTGAGATGAACGTCAGATTGCACCACCACTTCTTCGTCAGAGAAGCTTTTCTCCAGCGGAGTCGCCATCTTTTGTTTGTTGAAAATTTTGCAATAAAGAGAATAAAAGAAAATTAACTTGTATTTCTTCAATCCGATTACAATTTGATTACAAAAGAGAGGAGAACGAATTTGGTTCTCCCCTTTGTTTAAAACTGGGTTCTTCACGGTAGCGATGGAGTGCCTCCCTCGAATGCTCGCGTCGAGTTTGCTCTCCGTTGACGATCCGACTGTCTTGATTCACTGGAACAATGTCTTCTCCTCACGATTTGACGTTGTGGAGAACTTGCGTGGCAAGTTTAAAACTCTTGATGAGTTGACAACTCTGAACGAGTTTGAACTCTTGAAAAAGAGTTGATTTCAACCGAAAGTTCGATTGATAAGCCAAGGATGAAGAAGCTCTTGTTGCAGATCTCCCAAGCTCCAGAAAATGCTCCAAGGATCTCTTCTGCTGCCAGCCTTCAATGGTCGATTAAAGCCAAAAAATCGAACCCTGAACTCAGTGGAGTTTACTAGCTTTTTATAGGGGATTAAGGGGGTGTAACTGCCCTCTAAATCCGCTCCTAAGTGGGCGTGATTTCCTCAGATCGTGGGGAAAACGGTTCTGAAACCGTTCGACTCATATTTGAATGAGTCAAACGCCCAACCTGGCGTTCAGGACCCTAACCTCGCGTCTTAGGATTGAGACGTGAGGTTGGGTGTTGACTGAACATCCAGAACGCGAGGGTCGCTCACGTTTCGCTTGTTGTAACGCGGGTCCGACCCCAGCGTTTTGATGTTGTAACACGGGTTTGACCCTGGCGTTTTGATGTTGTAACGTGGATTCGACCCTCGCGTTTTGATGTTGTAACGCGGGTTCAACCCCGGTGTTTTGATGTTGACACACGGGGAGGACCTCCGCGTCTTGTCTTGAAGATATTATCACAAAGTAATCTCTTTTGTCATAGCGTTGCAAAGATTATTGTCTTGTAATCTTCGTCTTGGCTCCTTGAGAATATGAGAGTCGTCAGATTGTAACTCCCGATATTGATTGTGAAGACTGTTGAACTAGAGCTTTCATCGGTTGTAACCTTCAGCGATCTACGTGAAAGTCTTCAAATTGTAACCTTCTGGAAGTCGTCAGATTGTAACTTCCATCATCGGTGTTTGATGGAGGATAAGCTATCTATTGTGATTTTTAGACAGCCTACAATCACACAGCACCATCTCCACTTCCGGGCATAAGTATCCAGACCATTTCTGACCCACTAGACTCCTTTCATACATGCGCTCTATTATTTGCTTCCGTATGGTCTCAACCAAAGGTAAGATTCGCAACAATCGTGCCTTTCTTATCCAGCTGTTGAAGGACTCAGCAACGTTTGAAGTAACATAGCAATACCTTAACAACAAAACACTAACATTAACAATAAAACCATAAACTAAACATTAAAGGCCTAACCTTAACAACAAATATTCTAAACTTAACAGCAAAACCCAAGCAGAATAACTCTAACCATATCAATAAAAATCTAACCTTAACAGAAAACTGTAGGATAACTCTAACCTAAACAACTATAACGGTGCTGTAACAAAATAACGTTGAAACCAAGCTATCTTACCTTATACCAGGAAAATGCGCGTTTGCTCATCTCTTCGGGGAGTATTCCATTACAGTGACGTAAGCCCTGTGATCGATCGCTGCCAATTCTTTCATGTCATTATCCCATTCAGATATTGTGAACTTATAAGCCGCAGATTGTAACAGCTCGCCCAACGTAGTCGCGACATTTGCCTTGTGCCCAAAATCCTTTATCTTCTTTTTGAAATTCTCGACTAGATGCAGAACACACCTTGAATAGAATGCATCTGGAAAGAATTCCTCGACTGCTGCCCTGATATCCTTGTTAGCGTCGGAAATCATTAGCAGTCGATGTGGATGTTGGTAAGGATTTTCCCTATCATACAGTAATGTCCATAATCCTTGTAAGAACTATTTCTAGTTAACCTCATTCTCTTGGTCGCATACGCAATAAGCAAGGGGAAATATTCCCTGGTTACCGTCATACCCAGTAGCACTAAGTAGTATGCTTCTGCAACGATCTTTAATAAATGTTCCATCCAAAAATAATAGAGGTCTACACCCAGCAATGAACCCTTCAATACAGGTATTATAACTAATGAACAATCGCCTGAACCTCCCGTCATCAGCACCCAGCAATGAACCCTTCAATACAGGTATTATAACTAATGAACAATCGCCTGAACCTCCCGTCATCAGCATCAATAACAACACGACTCCCTGTAATGAACAATCGCCTGAACCTCCCGTCATCAGCATCAATAACAACACGACTCCCTGGATTAGTTGCATACACCATGGATTCATACCTGTAAGAATATAACAACAAAGCAGTACATTTAGCAAAGGATTTATAACCATAACAAATGATCTTCAAACTTCACAACCAACATGTATACTTAACGACGAACCAATAAGTTTAATAACTAATACGTATACTTAGCAACCAAAACGTAAGCAGTAGATTTAGCAAAGGATTCATAACCATAACAACTGATCTTCAAACTTCACAACCAACACGTATACTTAACGACGAACTAATAACTTTAACAACTAATACGTATAGTTAGCAACGAAAACAGAAGCAGTAGATTTAGCAATGGATTCTGATCTTCAAACTTCACAGCCAACCCGTATACTTAACGTCGAACCAACAACTTTAACAACTACTACGTATAGTTAGCAACCAAAATGTAAGAGTGATTTCAGAAGAATAAAAATGATAAGGACCATCTCAGTGAATCGTAAGCCTCATCATCGTCACCGAACAGGTCCTGTTGAGCTGTCTCCTTGCTCCACCACGCTTTACTGTAGTTAATCTTGATGCCAAAATTAGAGAGCATGTCGTTCTTGATATCAACTGCACGAAGATCTGGCCTAACCTTCAAAATAGCTTGTATTTGGCTAGCTATGAACTTCCTTGATACCCTTGGGTTGCCAGCATTTGCTTCATGTTGACCGCATGTGTGGGTAGACTCGAAATTCTTTATGGACATGATAGACGAATTTCTGAGCGGGGAAGCAAATAACATCCAAGGGCAACCATGTGTGTGCTTGAATCGGCAATAGACTCTTATGCGTCTTTGTTCATTGTGGTAAAAATCATACTCGAACCGTTAGCAATTGAATAGTATTGAAGTGCTAATCTAACTTCAGCAGCACTATTAAATTTCTGACCAACTTCACGTATGGAGGTGTGCCACTCAGTTGGGATCTTGGTTTGGTGATTAAGCATGTCTTCCAACAGCATGATCGAGTCGCCGGTGGGGTTGTCATTAGGAATACGCTCATCATTACAGGTTTGGGTGAACGTGGTATCTGCGCACCGTGAATTTTCTGTCGATATTATCCTGGAGTAGTAATAAAAATACATAGCCTCAGCAAAAAACTGATAACCTTAACAACGAACTCATAAACGTAACAGCCAACACATATCCTTAACAACTAACTCTTATATTTAAGGACAGACTCGTGACCTTAACAACAAACACATATACTTATCATCAAACACCTTATCTTAGCAACCAACTAGTATACGTAACAGCCAATAAATAACCTTAACAACCAGTGCTTAACATAACCTTGACAACCAACACATTACCTAAGCAACCAATGCATAAGGTTAACAACTAATAGCAAAACCTATCAGTGAACTCAAAAGGAAATCTGAAGTGTAATTCCTACGTAGTTTCCGGCGTAGTCTGCGTATTCTGCGAAGTTGAGGATTCCCCAGCGGAGGTAGCATACAAATTCGCGTCTGTAAATCCATTACGCCGACAATACTCGAACATCAAATTTAAGTCATCGTCATTGTCAATTGAAATACTGAATTTCTTTTCCCTTTCGCATATGAACTTCAGTGAAAGAGATTGCATTGGTATTTTAAGCCTTTCCGCCACTTGATATTTCAAGCTGATTATTTCTGTATTCTCTTTGATAACGACGCATACACCGTCACCACCTTTGTTGCTTTTTACCTTCGTTACCACGCATAAAAGAGATCCATCCGTCATTTTATTACAGGGAGTAGTTGAAGAATCGAAGAGGCTTTTATTGAGGAGAATTAAGTGGAAGGAACAAATTAGTTGGGGTAATAGAATGGGGGGAACTCAGCGATTTTAGCTGGAAGGGGAATATATCTGGTGATAATTTTGGAGAAAAATGGGAATCCCCCCCCCCCCCAAAAAAAAAAAAATCATTCTAATCACCATTTAATGCCTACAATCGAAACGCCATGTTTCCGACGTGAGAGGGCAACGAACACAGGCTGCGAAGGGTATTTTGGGCATTTCGAGTGGGGTTTAAACAGAGTTACGTCTGGGGATTCGTTTTGGGGGCTGGAAGAAAATCGTGGGCGATTTTAGGGTTGGGGGCAAAACACCCGTTGAAAAAGTCTTGGGAGAGGGGGAAGCATGTTTAATTTGTTGTGTTTTGGGGGCTGGAAGTATTTTTCCCTTAATTATTTCATTCCTTCAACAGCACAACACCTACCGTTCTGCTACTTAATTAAGTAACTAACTAACTTATTAGTTAGTTAATAAAAAAATACTAATAATAAAATTTAGTCCCACCCACCGTCCATCCATCACCACCTTCTCTGGATCCCATGAACCTCATCTCCAGCATAGCACGACGGTAGAGGCAACCAAATCAACTTTTTCTTTAATAAAGAGCAAATTGTCAGGTGAGAATCGAATCGATGCGGTGCGACGACTCTTAATTTATTTAATATTCAATGTAGTAAAGTAATATATGTATGCGCCCAGCCCAGCCCAACCGCACCATGCATTTATTGCACTACGCAGTTGCGATTTGGAATAGCATGTGGGACCGTGATCTAATCACGAGGGGGGAAGGGAGCAGGCCCGAGGCGAGGCGAGGCCC